AATTTATTACCTGGTGGAATTCAAAAACTATTTGATGAAAGGGAAGGGGGATACAATCTAAGGGGTCAGTTTAATTATAAAATTCATGCTATATGCACCACCAAAAAAAGATTCTGTATTTCGATAAGTGGAGTAAAACTATGGAATAATTTAAGTGTGGACATAAAAAACAGTAAGAAAATTGATGAGTTTAAACACAGATATAAAGGTATGTGTCAATCAAGATATGGGCAAGAACAGGCTTAATGATTAATCAGATGGGAGTGTGGATGTAGAATATGTATCCATGTAGTAATACTGCTTGCAAACCAATGTTGATAAGATGATGTTAGGGGGTAGGACTAGATAAGTCTAACTTCTTCCTACTCCGTTCAAGCATGTACTAGGTATAAGCAAATTGAAAATATATTTGTGCATATGTCTGGAATTATGTGTGGTTACATATTGATTGTTGTTACATGTTTGAAAGAATAAATAAATCAAATCAAATCAATTCCTTGTGACACTCACCATGTCTTATGAATGTAATGTTTACTCATACACTCACTGGCCACTTTATTAGATACACCTGGACAACTGTGTGCACCTCAGTACTTGCATCTTAACATCTGTGTTTATGAAGCTCAACATGTTTCAGTTGAACTACAGAGTAAAATTGTTTCAGTAAAATTGTCAAATAAACTCAATTATACAGTATGTTCATTATTGAGGTCGTAGTTAAAGGTGGTGTTGTACTGGTGGTGTCTCTATAGTTCTGGCCTCCCCAGCTACATACATAAGAGGGCCAGAATATTAGGAACACCTCTGAATATAATGTAGTCTAGTACAACACCAGTTTAGTTAGGTCTTGCACACTTATGAAATCACTTTATGCTGTTATCTGTACTGTTCTCAAAGTAGTTTTAAAAAAGGATTTCAGGAAATCCCATCCCATTTCTGATTCTCTGTGGGTTTTTTTCTATAATTGTTCAAAAGTTCAAACAGTTTAAACTCCTCCCCTCTGGATGGCACTACAGGTCACTGTATGCCAAAACAACTAGACACAAGGACGGTTTCTTGCCCCGGACCAGCACTCTGATGAACACTTAACCCATGACTGTAGAACAGAACGACAACCTCAGTGCAGTACCTTGTAAATATACTTTTGTATACATCTATCTGAAAAACTGCATCTAAACTGTGTGTATATACATTCCTATATTTATAAGTACATCTAAACTGTGTGTATATACATTCCTATATTTATAAGTACTTCATTGTTATTTTCCTAATGCACACTCCTTTTCTTTTTTTGTTCTCTCAACCTTACCTTGTTTAGTTGTCTACTGGTTGCTTTAGGGAAGAACACTAACCATGCACACCGAGAGCCACTGTACCACAGTCTAATTCCTCATGTGTCCAACACACCTGGCCAATAAAACTGTCTATGATAATAGTCATTCAATGTAGTAGTTTTGGATGAGTCTGCTGCTCCTGCACTGGACTCAGATTGGCTAACTAGGGACACACAGTTAACAATGTACAGTTGTAATTTAGCACAGTTGCATCTCACAGATATAGCATCTTAGGGCTCACATGCTGTATATAGTCAACATCCGCCCTCCAGTAAGCAGAGCCTAGTCAAATGCCAAGCTTCCAAACCACCTCTGACATGGCTACATAGTGACTAAAGGACTCTGTTTTACTTGATATCATTCAGCATGGGAGTTGTTGAACTGCAGTCAAAGCTACGATCTCTAGTATACAGTAGGAATTTCCCCACTGTGGGATCAATAAAGTACCTACTCTAATGCAGGAACACAATGAAGACATCTCTGTTCATACGCTGACAGAGGCCAACAACACGTGCATCCACTAATTCTCATAAAACCCTTGTTCCGGTTTCATCTTTTGACAGGGAATAAAAGGATACGACAACAAGGGGTTTGTCATAGAGAACATAGCCATTGGTTTCCTGCAGGGCTTTCTCTGCGCTCTGCTCACTGGGCAGTCCGATGAATGCCTGGCCTTTCATTCGCCCCTCCTTCATTAACACAATGTCAAACCTGTGGGGGAAAAATAAAGCTGTGACACACCGCCATCACTTGTGCCTTGTGGCTAGGTCAAGTCATTGTCATATTGTTGTCTATTCAGTTTTAAAAAAGGAAAATGTTAATAGTACAGGAACTGTTGTGTTTTGATACAACCTATGAACCAACTGAAGTGCAACGTTGCATTCTGGCAAGCTCTGGAACTAAATACACAAGGGTTCATCTCAACAGAAAATTTAATGGGTGGTAAAAACACCATTTTATTGTGGACAGATGGCTGGAACAAACTGGAAAAAATGCCTTTTTTAAATTAAGTAGGTTAATGTGGGTGTCATCAAAAATGTGGTGACTGTAGATTAGAAGCCAGCGCTTAACCTCTAGAGTCCCTGCGTCCTCATATGAGGACCGCACAGCTTGGGTTTCCAAAGCTCAGGACTCTAGAGGTTAAAGATGCTCTCAAAACTAGCATGTAGATTTCATCTAGGAGCACTGCAGTTTTCCAGTAAACAACAGTTTGCAGTCCAAGCCAGGTAACATGATGTGTGGAAATGGCCAAGTCAAAAACCACTTTCTAACATCACCCAAGTGCAGGTTCGATTGATTATTGCTCACATATTAAGATTAGAGATGCACTCACTGCAATGTTCTTGGCCAATCCCAGTTTTATTTTTTAAAGTCTGACCTGACGATTCAGATTTTCTTTCTTTCTAAGAGCTGTAATTGGTAGCATACACAAACAGTTTTGTAACTTTATTTTAATGAAACATTTTATTGTAATAAAAGTAAAACAACATATTAAATAAGTTTAGATTTGCTTAGATTTTGGTGATCTAAGATCAAAGTCAATATGTCCCATTCCCATGATTTTGACTGGTTGATGGAGGCACAGAACCGCGAAGAGGTAATTCCAGTTTCTACTGATATCCACATATTTTCCACTACAATCTTATGGACAATGGTTACTAGACACATAAACTGTGACTTTAATTCCGATAGACACAGAAGGCTATGACCATCATTTTAAACACTTTTTTCATTTGACTTCAACTTCGCTGCTCCTCTGGTTGGGACATAGCTATGTCAGCAGCAAAAGTGGTGAGCTGCATGGAGTGTGAACGACTGGCGGGGAGAGTTATGCAGTTTGAAAGGAAAACGTTCAAATATGCGAGAGTGAACTATTCATTGATTCGGCAGTGGTTATTGTACAAACAACGGGGATTACATCAGGCACAGAGCATCCAGGCACGGACCTGATTGACATGCTGGACTGGATCAGTCACAGTGAGACTGGAGCTGTGGCAACTCGCATATCAGCCGTTATGGATGATGTTCTACTGGCACAGCATTGGTGCTAGACCAAAAGTATCAACTCTGGCCAGGACTTGGTCTGATGTCATCCTCAGTAGAGGCAAACCAAGTAGGAAATCTTACAGGTGGGCACCAGTGCTCACTCCACCACCTGAACTCCCACTGTAAACCCGGTATGAGCCATTGGCTATAAAATGGGTGACAATACCAAAACTACTGAACCCAGGGATGCTAATCACCTCACTAGCATCAAAGTTAGCTAAAACACAAAAAACTGCTCCAAAGCAACAACTAGGCAGAGGGCTAGAACAAGCACTGCTACTACCAAACCTGATATGTGGGACACTATTCAACTGTGGGCTCTATAACTAAGTATGTAAAAATGGCAAAATCTGAATATTTAACTGTGGCTAGTCATCCTCTCTACACATCCAAGTAATATGCTGGGTTGATTGGCATTCTGCAACAAAAAATTGACTCTGAAATCCTGAAAAGAGGCTTTTCACTGCTACTGGACAAACTGCACAACTATCAGGCACAACACGTGTTCATCTCTGGCTCCATTCCAACTTTTGGAAAATAAACAGAACAATTTAGCTGACTCCTGATCCTGAATAGCTGGTTGTCTACAGAAAACCTCACTTGTGGGTTAAAGTTCATCGATAGCGGCAATATATTTCGAAAGTGTAAAGACCACTTTCACACCTGATGGGTGCATTCAGATGCATGGATAAGCACTAAGCACACACACAGAGAAGAGAGAGCCTGTCCTCCAACCTCAGCCAACTCTATGCTCCACATCACTCAAGGCATTCAGAGGATATTGCTGTCCTGTATCCTGAACACCCTCCGCCCTTCAAAGCTGCCCCAAACAGGAACCCCATGACCCCCACCGTCCCCCCTTCAAAGATGTGTACTCAACGACCCCCCTCCTCACCTCCAAGGATGTCTCTGGCCTCCCCCTTCCATCCCTGCATCTCACTCACTACTCAATAAACTAATTAAAAATGCAGCTATGAAGCTCAGACACTGGTGTTTGAAATTTCCTGAAAAAAGTAACCCACCTCTAGTGTTGAAGTACTCAGAGGTTAGTCTCAAAAAGACAGAAGGGGTACAACGTAGAATGAGAACAGCAAGAATCCAGCCTGCCACAGTTATCCTAAAATTACTAAGTATATACTACATACTTGCATGTTGCTACTGCATGCTGTCATGCAATTGTTGTTTTATCTGTGTGCATTGTGTTAAGCACTTTGAGTTGCCTTTGTGTATGAGAAGGTGCTATATAAATAAACTTGCCTTGCCTTCTCTCACTCTGACTCAACAAATCTCAAAATAAAGTGCTCCACGGTACAGGACACACTTTTTTTTAAACAAGCCTCCAACTAAAAATAAAGTGCAGTATTTGTACATCTTTATCTGTAAACAGGTGCAGCAGGTAAGAGAAACAAAGGAATGTGTGTTAAATCGATCATTCTGAACATGCTTTTATTTTCCAAAATGTATGTTGTTTTTATTTGCTATGTTTGACTGTGGGTTGGATGTACCATACATACACATGCATTTCAAGGCTTAATTGTCTCACTGTATAGTATTTGTCAGGTTTGGACTATAGTTTTCCTGTTTCCAAGGTGTTTCTGTAGGATCCTCTATGTGCTTTTTGAACGCCAAGCACTTCCAATGCGCGAGTGGCCCAACAGACAAGTGCGAGGTGCATGTGCTACACAATCATTCTGCCACTGTGCACGCGATGTGAACAATCGTGCATTTGCCCAGCAGAGAATTGGATATCTCAGACTGAGCGGCCGGTCAGCGGTCATGGCCAGTCGAGCTAAAAACAGGCCAGTTCTGATCTCCAGCCAGTTTGTTAGCATTATGAAATCTGAAAACTCTGTGCCCCATATAATGTGTCCAACGTATGGAATGGAATTTATTGTATTTTCTCCACACATTAAAATGCACAGTTGGCTTAATGTATATTTTACTGTACCGCTACACACAACCGCTCAATAAGGTCTGATGTTAAATTTGGTTGAAATGAAAACTGCAGATTTTTTATTTTCTCAAATCTGGAAAGACAAAGATTAAGATTAAATTTTAAAAACTATTTGTTTAGCAAATGTAATGGTTGGAAACTCACTAACAACCTGTATTAACCATAAAACAACTATTTTGTTGCTTCTCTGGCAGAGATGCACCTTCTTATTCATCTCCTACATTTGTGTACAGTCTGGCTTTGTACCAAACAGAAGCTCAGTTTGATGACTCGGGTGGAATATTTATTTGAAGTACTGCTGATGCACAAACATAAAATGTCCCTCATGATCTCTTCGTCAGGTTAGATACTTATTAATAACACAACAGACAGTCAGCATAAATTACTAAAAGCTCTCAAGAGAAAGTGACAAAGTACCAGAGTCAAAAATAACTCAAAAGAAAAGAAAAGAGGGAAAAAGGAGCAAGTAAACCATGAGAAATAAAGCTGAGATCATCCGGACTGCTGTTTACATACATGTTCCTCTCAGCCTCTGACAAAGGGTTGATGTATCTCCCATAGATGTACTTCAGGTCCTGCCAACAATCAAAATGAATATGAATGCTACTATGCAGGCAAAGGTCATGTGGAATTTACAGCTCAATGCAAAATGTAACTAACATTTAACAACACAGAATCCTGATGAATTTATGATGAAAATAGGCAATGAATTAAAAAGAATCATATCTGGTAGACCAAACAAACACACATAAGTGGGTCAAGTGCTCAAAATGTACGTACTTTCTCTTCCACTTGCTTTGCAATATTCTTCACATACAGCCTGCAGGTTGGTTCACCTGGTTTATAGTGTTTAAATACAGCCATCTGTCTCATTTCTGTTCCAAAGGAGGGGAGAAAAAAAATCCACTTCAATAACGGGTATATAAGTACCACAGAGCTGCCTGCATAAGAAGGAAGTCAAAGTCATTCCAACCTCTCAGTGTTTCATTTAAGTCAGAGGACTGAAGAACCCGGCTAAAACTTACACAGACACATTAAAACAGTGATCGCTGATCTTAGCACCTACCATCCAGTTCAATTTAGATATGTCTTGTCCTGTCTTAGCTTGTACTGTATATTTATTTTATAGATAACATACCTGAACAACGTGTGTCAGTGGAAGGAACAACAGAGTTACACCCGCCACATGGCAGTGCCAGTGACACCTACAATCTTGCTAGCAAAGCTCAGTGTGGAAATAGTTGAAGTAGCACCTTCTGCTGTTCGCTACTCTTTCTGGTTAGAATGACAACCAGTGGGGTCACCGACGAAGGTTAACTCTGTGACTTAAACTGATGACAGGACAAAATGAAAATGGCTGCTGTCGGGTTTGTGGCCTCGCTGTAGCCGGTGGACAGACTGTGAACTGAGCACTTCTCTGTAGTTCCAACAACTCTAACAAAGCGAGACAGGTAAAACTACCAGCTGATCACATATCAACGATGGAAATGTAGCACATTCTGTGTGCACGCAGATGGTTATAAAGAGCCATCGTCTCTCATCTTTTACATTACATAAGAACCATTTCTTTGGAGGCTGACAGTATTTGGCCTTTTACTAGACATAAAGGTCTTGATTGGAAAAAAGTAATGCTGATGTGAAACCTCCGGCAACAGCTCCTCTAAGGACCTATTTGTTTCTTTATTTCTGCAATTGGCATTTTGCCATTTATGCTTTGCTGTCATGTCTCTCACTGGTCTCATTAACTGCCACACTGTTCTAATATGCATTTTCAACAAACCACTGATGCTGCCCACAGGATTTATGAAAGGGATCGTTCCAGCTGTTTAACACAGAGTAGGTGACAGTACCAGTCAGGGTATATATTACCATCTCTTGTCAGGTGGCCTTTCTCCAGCTCCTTTCTGGAGATGACGCCTGAGGTGAAATCCTGCTCGTCATCTCTGTGCTCCTCTTGCGGTTGAGACACCTGGGCGCTGGGGTAGAGTTTCCCAAAACCTTCAGCAGCTTTACTCTTATCGCTGAGAGACTGAGCAACCTCCCTCTCATCTGCGGGGTCAGAGAGGATGACAAAAAACCAATAAGGAACTCGTCGCTAACAATTTCAATCACATAAAATGCATTTTACAGCTGAATCTACAGCAACGGATCACACTCTACAAGATACATTCGTAGCATCGCTGTCCTGAAAGAAATCTTTCTAAAAGTCAACTTTTCATGTTCCATGGTCAGCTCCACTGTACATCAAAGGGGACAGGGTGGAGCGCGGCTCCAGCTTCTGAAAACCTCTCCTGGTCCACAAACACCAGTGCAATCATTAAGAAGGGATCTTTGATCGCTGCTCCAGTGAGAGCATTCTAGCCTACTGCATCACAGTATGGCATGACAGCTGCACCGCTGCACACTGGAACGCTCGACAAGAGGGCCATCAGAACACCACAGAAGATCTCTGGCTGCCATCTCCCCTCTCTGAATGACATCAACAGTTGCTGCTGCCTCTGCAGAGCTAGAAACATCTTAAAAGACACGCCGCTTGTTTGACCTGCTGCCATCTGGCAAATGTTTCAGGACCATCATAGCATGTACGAACAAACTGAAAAACAGCTTTGTTCCAGGGCCGTAATAGCACTGAATTTGGCGCAGCACTAATGGGATGTCTGTGTGACTGGCTCCTGGACTTTCTGACTGGCAGGTGCCAGACTGTCAAGATTGGCAATAGGACTTCAACCAGCAATATTACGAACATCGGCACCCCACAGGGATGTGTCCTCAGTCCCATCCTTGAGAGGATCTTGACCAGCTGCATCACTGTCTGGTATGGAAGCACTACTGCTGTGGACCGCAAGCGCCTGCAGAGAGTGGTAAAGACTGCGGAGAAGATCACCAGGACTCCACTGCCCTCTCTGGAAAGCATTTACCACCGCAGGGTGCGTAGGAAAGCTGCCTCCATCCTCAAGGACCCCACCCACCCCCAGCACGGAACTGTTTACGTCCCTACCCCCTGGCTGGAGGTTCAGAAGTGTGAAATGCAGGACCTCTAGACTGAAAAACTCTTTCTTTCCCTCAGCCATCAGACTCCTAAACAGCTGACAGGAGTTTATTACCCGAAAATACGCCATGTACTGTCAACCTGTACTGTTTACATGCCCAGTTTGCACATGCATAACTGCACATTGACTATTGACTGCTGCACATGCTGCTCCCATGTAGCATACATTCTCTTATTATATTCTTATATATTATTATATCTCTGCATTTGCTGCTTAAAGTGCCTTAGATTCTGTGTTACTTATTCATCTACTTTATATTTCATTTGTATTTTGTGTCATTCATGTGGACGGCAAAGTAAGATTTTCATTGTACAGGGAAACATGTTTCCTAATTGTGCATATGACAAACACTTTGACATCGAGTGCCTCACTGCTTCAAGTGCAATACAATATGATGAGTGCAACATAACAAGGTCAGTAATGCTCTGTGGTTACCTGTCTTTTATTCTCTTTTTTAAATTCACTTGTTTTTGTCTGTTGTCTTGGTGTTTTGTTATTTATTGGTTTTCTATTATGTCTAGCATTAATAGCTGCACTGAAATGTTATAGTATCACGATACAATGACAATTACTATTTTCGTTCAGAAATAAAATTTCTTCAGATTTTCTTAGAAATTGTTTATCTCAACACATATGAAAATATACTCAGCTCATAAAAGCACGTGTCAAACTCAAGGCTCGCGGGCCACATCCGGCCCGGCGTACAATTACATCCGGCTCGCGAGATCATTTTATAAATCTTTTTTTAATGGCCTGGCGATATGAAGCGCCGATAACACACAAACTACAAATCCCATAATGCAACGCAACAGCTGCCTTACCGAACGATAGGCTACCTGCGATCATTCCCGCGTCAATTACGTCAGATCAATCAAGTGTCTGTTGATGTATACAACCCTAATTTCAAGTCAAAGCTAGCCCCTAACAATGGCCAAGAGAAAAGTTGATTATGAAAACAGAGCCTTTCAAAACCGGTGGGAGGCTGAGTATATGTTTACTGATGTTGTCGGTAAACCCGTGTGTCTTATTTTTGGAGCTAATGTGGCTGTAATTAAGGAATATAACCTAAGACGGCACTACGAGACAAAACATCAGGACAAGCTGAAAAATGTGAATGGAGAGCAGAAGCTACAGAAGGTAGAGGAGTTGAAGAGGAATCTGACATCACAGCAGACATTTTCACCAAAGCGAAATCACACAGTGAAGCTGCTGTGAAAGCAAGTTTTATTGCGGCAGAGGAGATAGCCAAATCAACCCGGCCATTTACCGAGGAAGAGTTCTTGTGTCTTGTGTCCAGACAAAAAGCAGGTGTTTGCAAATGTAAGCCTTAGCAGACATACGGTTGCTGATTTTAAGTTCAAGTTTATTTATTTTGGAATAATATTGTATCCTGTCTGTTTCAATTCATATTTATGTTCAAAAACGTTTAGTTTTAGTCTGTTCAATAAATGTTTATCCTGTTCGGCCCGCGACCTAAAGTGTGCTTTGAGTTTTGGCCCCCTGTGCGATTGAGCCCTGCCATAAACGAACGAGTAATACTTAACATTATTTAAAAAAAAAAAATTAAACGACCAGCACATTGTTTTCATTGGGCAGTAAGAGTGTGGGGAAAAACCTAATTTCTAATTAGTAACTAAATCTGTCAGATGTACAGCAATTGCCCCTGGTATACAATGGGGTAGATGTATGAGGTAGCACATGTAAATGCTCTAACTTGTCCTTAACTAAAATACTTGTGTACTTACATTCAACCTCTACTATGGCAGCAATAGTTCAGTAATAATGTACTGATAAATGAAAGAAGATGGTCTCTAGAGCAGGCCATAAAGCACATTCTGCCAGCTCCTGTTTTGCAAACATGACTTTGAAAGACAGTAGGAATTATAACCCTGGAAGACTTTTGATATGCACTCAAAAGCATGTGCTCACATGGGATTACTAAGAGCAGTGAGGCAGCACAAATCTGAGGAGGGGGGACAAGCTTGTCATCCACATAAGGTGCATGTGCATACACACTGAAGGAATAAGTGCTGGAGAGCTTTTCTGATACTCTCAGCAGAGAATATATTCATAGTCCTCATCTGTTCCTCACCTCCCCGTCTAATTTAGGTTGCTTGTATATCGGATCTCACACGCCCTACTTTCCCAAAATAAGACTAATCCAAAAACCAACAGTCATAGTTTCTTTCCTCTGCCTTCAGGAAAATCTGTGTTTGACTTTGAAATCAGTTTCACTAATCAGGGCCTTGCCTGGGAGTGAAGTCATGTAAATAAGGCAAACAGGGAAGTGCATGGCTGACAGGAAATGCAATCTGTGCCCCCAGTGACGTGCTCATACAGAAAACGGTCAAACCTTTTTGGTGCTGGATTTCTTGCTTGATATATTGACTGACTGCTCTGACTTCACATATCGTGAATAGAAGTATCAAACCTTGACCTGCTTCAGTGTGCAAACAAATACAATGAAAAGTAATAACCCACATCACCTCAGTTTTAACTTAGCAATGCTTTGACCTAGGATATGTATGTGTGTGGACCTATATCATTTAATTTAATGTCATTATACTAAACTTTAGAAATTCCACAATACATATTTTCCATTGTCTGGATATGAAATCATTAATGTACAAACATCCAATGCTCCGGTGGATGTACAGTTCTAATACGCCTGTGAAGATTTGTAGTAGACCCTGCTTGATATGAGTTTTACTTTACAAATTCTACATTCTGCCTGTGTGTTGTTGATGTTATTAAAATGTATCCAAATGCTACTTCGTTTGCGAGTGTTTCATTTCTGTTGTGTAGACCGTCAGCCAACCCCTCACCCTTTAACCTGATGGTATGATCCTTGTCTGTCATCACACCTGAGAACACTTTTTACTTCATTTATGCAAATTTGTGCTAAATCTCAGTTAATGCACCTATAAATTTAATATTTACAAACACCTATAAGCCCTTTGAATTATGCTGTATGTAAACACTAGTCAGTAACTTGTCTTAAAAAATAAAAGTAGATTTAACACATACTTTTACTATGAGAAAAATGCTGATATGCTTATAATAGTCTATGTTGCAATTTTGTATGAAATGTACAATGCTACAAACAAACAATGTTAGACTGTGGAGCACCTAAACTAAACACAATCACACAATCCTCTTTTCCATTTTCCTTCTTAAAAACACCTTCTGAATATCTTGCTTTTGCTGACCTCCAGTGGTTCACAGGATAAAGCCAGTGATTTTCTATATTTTCTTATGGTCAATAAATTCTGTGACAACAATAATGTACTGTACATGTCATACAAACCAGTTTGGTGTATATATCAATAGCTGATACATCTTATTCCTCTGAGTCACAGAGCTCCATTATTGTCCAAAGCCCATTAAGGATCAAGATGACTAGATGACATTTTGCTTCATTACAAAGAAAATGGGTGCAGAACAAATGAAAAAAGAATAGAGAAAATCACAGGCCTTACGCTTTAGGTCAGGGGTGAGCAACCAGCGGCTCTTTAGTGCCTCTCTAGTGACCCCCTGGCTCAATGGCTACAGCCTGCTCAATAGGACTAGCTAGCTGGCACGTTAGTGGGTCATCACACCTTCGAAAACACCTGAGCAAATTTCTAAATTGGCATTAATCATATGCTTGAAAACTTGATGGTTATTTTCTCAAATGAAAAAATATCAAAACTTAATAAAGTGGACAAAAATAACGCGCCTGCCCTCTGAGCAGTGTGGCACAACAAGGTCTTTTCTTTGTCAGACCAGTCTGAAGAGCTGCTCTCATTAGTCAGTACCTCAGATCCTCTGCTACACTAACGTCAGTCTGTTGGTGATGGGCTATGAGGTACTCAAACCGTCCTCCACGGTGTCAAGTCATTAATGCATCCATATGATTTTGTTAGAACCATAGATGTACAACACCACCCCTGCATGTGCACACTGTAAAGATGCTACACTGGCTTCACAGCTGAGCTCCGCCTTTTTTGTTCCATCACCATTATTACAAAATAGATTTTTAGCATTTGTAAATTGATTTAGAATTGTAGACAATATGAACTCTGATACTTTAATTGTTTTTTTTTTCTCCCACCCTTTATGTTGATAAGCCACTGTTTTATTCAGCATGTAGAGAGATGGGATTGTCACTAAACACTTAATAGAAAAAATAGTCAGCAGGTTACTTGATAAATAACCAACTTATTCATTGCAGAAAGTGCATTGCAGAAACTGTCTAACAATCTGCAGGTCAAAATAGAGAATGGTCTGTTTCTTTGTTCAAAAAATTAATTAAAATATTTCTGAGAAAAAATAGAGAATGGGAGTTCTTACCTCTGCTCTCATCATCCACTGTCTCTTGATCGTGCCCTCTTCTGTCCACTGTGCTCACCAACTCTGGAATCGAAAAGTGGAATTCAATTTTCCTTGGCCCAGCAGGGTGGTCCTGCTCGAACACGTCACGGGGCTGCAGCACTGAAACACTGAGGACAGCAGAGACAATCACCACTCCCCACAGCCTCTATGAAAATACCAATAATAAACCTGGCTCCTGAGCAGCTTAAGGGTTGGGATATTTTGTTCTGACCAATAAGATGTGCGTTCCAGTCTGCAAAGAATACAGCCAGGAGACATCGAGATGTGTGTGTGTGCATTTAGAGTTTAGAAATAGAGTTTGTGGCCTGTTATTAAAGAAGCATGTATGTGTTTGGTACAAAACAGTGTATCTCCAAAGCCACACGATATTGTGTTTATGAGGAATTTCTAGGGGTCTTTGTCCTCCCCTTTGGCTGTCTGTGAATATGTTCTCAGATGAAGCTATGTGTGAGGACAAACATGCATGATTGCCTTTACTGTACCTCTGAGAGTCTGGTTTGGGAGCATACAGCAGATCTTTGATCTTGGGCTTCTTTCTTTTTGAAGCTGTTTTTGGTCTCATGGGCCTCTTGCACGCTTGATTCACCAGACAAACAATTCTGAAATATAGAAAGTATGAAAACTGAGGGGGAAAATGTCTACCTTGGTCAGAAAAAAACAGTCCACCATCTGGAATTTAGACATTTCCCTTTCAGCTACTTCTGTTTCCAGAAATGTTATCACTGATGAAGGACGCGTTAACACACTAGCGTGACTGCATGATGTGGGACAATATGAAAGTTAATTACCACCACAAAAAGCCTAAACAGAGTCCTGTCTAATGTGACTGGTTATCTGCTCCTCACCTCTGCTTGTCTTCATCGTCTCCACTCTCATACTCTGACTCTTCCTCATTGGAGAGCTCCATCTCCTCCTCTGGTAAAGGGGGGTAGTCAGGAGGAAAGGGGGGGGGCATGGGGATGGCTGGAACAGGAGGCAGGTGCTCAAACTACAGGAAACAACATAAGGTGGCTTAGCTTACAAATACTCTGGGGCTCAAATGATTTCACATTCATCTTTGCTAAGGTACCGGAAAGTACAAATCTCATGTATTTAAGAATGGCCACACCTGTATGGTATCAATATTTGGTTTAAATGACCCTACCAGTCAAAACACTGGCACATGCCTTGCCATTCAATTCATTCCCATCTGATTTTCTAATTCCTTACTTTGCCCCAAAGGAGTCAAACAAGCAATAGCAAGTTCATATTAATGTAAGACAAGCAAAATGAGCAACTCATCACCTTTAAACAGCTGTTAACAAGGAACATTTGGACATCTTTTTCTTTCTTGAAAAAAAAAGCTTTTTTATCATCATCAAAATTACTGTTTAATTATTAATTAATCAGTAGTTTCAGCTCATGCTCCATTCACAGCACATAACAAATTGACTGACTTCTCTGCATTTAAAAGTGACATGCTCTTTCAAACAAAGCAAGCAAAAGTGTGTTTTGCTTCTCAACTCTTCACCTGAATGTTTAAGCTTAACTGTGCAGGTCAAACACTGATTGGGGAGGGTTCTTTGTTTGGAAACCAACTGTGGTCCAATATGTAACTTACACAAAGTGTGATAACAGACATCTCAGTGTAGTAGGAGACATCAGTCAGAAAATATCTGCATATTCATAGACTAAATGTTTCCATGAGGGAGAAAGAGCAGATGTAATTTTAACATTGAAGTTAAATTTCATATTTAATTCTGACCAAGTAACTGATCATTTTTGTGGAATAAACAATAAAAAAAAGACATTATTATTCCAAGTACAGCATTCTCACATTTATCATATTAAGACTGTTTAATTTGTTTGCAAGGCAGTGCACAGTGTGTCATCAGGTTACATATTGACTGGCTTGTTGGAGTGGATACCATGACAGGATGCATTATGATGCAGCACAAAAGGAAACAGAATTTTGGCTTTTTGGCTTTTAGAAATGTTTTGTGGCTGAAAAAGCAGCTGAAATGTTTAATAGTGCTAGTGACTGTTTGGTAATAGTTAGCCTGAATTATTGAGAGTGCAGATGAAGGGCTGTGCTGGATGCAGGCAAGGGTGGTTCTGGGATGTTAGAACACACTGTTGAGCCTTCTCATTGTCGTGGGCCCATCTCAACAAGGTCAAAGGTCAAAGTGTTTATTTGTCAATGCACAGTTAGGAAACGTGTTTCCCTGTACAATGACAGTCTTACTTTGCTGTAAACATGAATACCACAAAATACAAATGACATATAAAGTAGATAAGTCATCCATCCATCCATCCATTTTCCTCCGCTTATCCAGAACCAGGTCGCGGGGGCAGCAGTCTAAGCAAAGATGCCCAGACTTCCCTCTCTCCAGACACTTCCTCCAGCTCCTCCGGGGGAATGCCGAGGTGTTCCCAGGCCAGCTGAGAGACATAGTCCCTCCAGCATGCCCTGGGTCTTCCCCGGGGCCTCCTCCCGGTGGGACATGCCCGGAACACCTCCCTAGGAAGGCGCCCAGGAGGCATCCGAAA